CAAGTCTGTGCTAAGAGCTTGTTTACAACAGAAACAGCAAGAAGTTAAACACTGAGGAGAGGATGACAAGGTTTCCAACTCTGTTCTCTGTGCCCTCCAAGATTCTTCAACAGACCCTGGCAGTGGAAGAATATCCAGTGAAACTGCCCTCGGGCTATTGTAAAGCTTAGATCCATTGGTAGTCCTCCCTCCCTTCCCTGGAAAAGACAGAAGGAACTGGCTGGCAGACATGGAGCAGAACTGCCCAAGTAGGCAGATAGGGGCCATTTTCAGAACACTGAGTTCCTCAGGCAGATTGGCATTAGCCAGTAAACGCTTGAGGAAACTGCCTTAACCAAGAGCTATTCATTCCTTCTCCCCAGGACAGAAAAGGTGTATTCTCTACTGAAGCATCTAACAATGGAGAGCAATGTTCCAGGTCCAAAACAAAATAAAGTAAGATACTGCCTGAGCTGAACATTAATACTGCCTTCCATGATTCCTGACATAAAGCAAGCTGTGTGCTCTGCAGGGGTTAAATTTGCTTGTGTAAAATCTGAACAGGAGCAGAAAGATCACAAAATCAGTGGGAGTCAAAAGAGGTAGAAGAATGCTGCTTATGCTTATCTGCTAATGTGTATGAAGTTACAATTACTTTACTCCCATTGTTAACATCCTCAGACCCAGGACTTGCTGACTTTAAGAGGGAACACAAATCTGCTCTTCAGGAGTTGCAAATTCATCCTTCATTTTACTTCTTCCTCACATTGTCATGCCTCAAAAGCACAGCACAGTGCCCCAGTGTCATGCTGCACCCACCCTGCTACCATTGGATTAACACGGAGCCAGTATTGTGAGTGTGCAACAGGCACAATCCTAAAGCCCTGTGTTTGTAGACCTACAGTAAAAGCTAGCTTTCTCATTATTTTGTTTTCCTGGAAGAATCACAAACTTGCTCAAAAAACGACAGAAGGGGGGAAAAAAAAAGAAAAGAAAAAAAAAAAAAAAAAACAGGCTACCTCCATAAGCACCAACTTGTTTTGTATTTAATAACTGAAAGAGGGGAATGCTTTGAGCTCAGCTTCCACTCCTCCCCACTCCACTCAGGATCTGAGGGGTGCCTAAAGTGCAATAATTAACCTTCTGAGGGACGAAGTGAACATTTTCATAAAAGAACTTCTAAAGCAGCCGTGGAGCTTCCCAGAGGTGTCTGTCCGGCCTGGGAAGTCCCATCCCCATGAAGCAAGAAGTCAAGGTGGTCTATGAGTGGTGGAGGACAGCCCTGTTTAAGGTGTCTCTCACCTATTTCAAAGCATGAAGTGTTTGGCAGCAATAGGAGACCCAGCTGCCCTCACTCACTCTTCGCTATTGTTTCTTCCCAAAATCTGCTCTGCGCATGGATGCAATGAAACCAGGGCAGGATTTAAGAGCATTACCATTTCTGTCTTGAACCCTGGGGCAGCCATACCAGGACGAGACAGAAGGCGGCACTCCAACACCACCAGATGAAAAACCATCGCCTTTAACACCTCCCGCAGGGGTCAGAGTTACCATCAAAGTAAAAAACAACGCACTCAAAAACCCAAGCAACTAATCAAACAAAAAAAGCAACCTCAGGAAAAACCAAACAGCCACTCAGCCACAGGATAAATGTTTTCACTATTAAAACTTCAAGTTTGCCACCAATAGTAATGCTTTTAACTTTGGGCTATGAAGGCTGAACGTGTCACACACCACCTGCTAGCTGTGCTCTCTCTCAGTTCACAGTGCAGCCTGGTACCGTGGTTAAAATTTGTCTTGGAAATAAAAAGCCATCTCCCACTCCACGTGAAAATGGCACTTGGGTGTGACCAGCCTCCAACTCGCCTTTGGACAGTTACTACCCGGGAGAAACCTGCTCGGAACAGCCTGGTGGGTTCACAGCAGGGTCAGCACACCCCAGGGCTGAACTCTCCCACCCAGGACGTACCTGGTGGTCTGCAGCAGCTGAACTGTCACCTCCCGTGTGAGGCTTGCATAAAGAATGAGTGGCTCATACTTCCGAGTAGTTATCCATGCTTTGAGGATTAACTCTCAGCTTTCAATATGTGTTTTCATATTCTGTACTGGAGTTAGTATTGTAGTTTCCTCAAAATCTTACATTTCATACCAGTTTGTAAAGGGGACAGCTTTTCCAGGTAGGAGACTGAAGCAGCTCAGGGAAGAAAACAAGACGAGACTTAATATTAACTTTTAGGACATATTTTCTTTTTAAAGGATTATTACTTGCCGATACATTAGCCAGGTTCATGAAGAACCACAGTGACAGAATAGGTCAGATAGATTTCTATTTTACAGATAGGAAAGTGAAACTGCTTTACTTTCTCCAGAGTCATGCTTTTTTCCAAATTAGACAAGTCTTGTCAGAGCTCCAACATGCTTCAGAGACCAGAAAGGTCATCTAAATCAGATAAACCCAATACAAATGAGCCAAAATTTTAAGCACTTAATAAACGAGCTCTCTACTTCCTAGAGCTGTTCCCTGACAAGCTCTCTCTCCTTTTTCTTATTGCCGACGATTATGGGTATACTGCATGAGGTGACATACCTGCATGATAAAGACACGGTGCTTCTCTGAAAGCTGCCTTCTAGCTGCAGGAGAGCACAAACAATGCGTTAGCTCTGCAGCAGCAGGGCTCAGGACCCCACTGCGTTAAGTCCTCTTTGAACACAGGAATACAAAGGCAACCTCATCCCCACACTTCAGTGAAATTACCTGGGGCCACATAAAGGACGCCTGGAGCCGAGGTGAAGGCTCCAGTGACATGAGCGGCGTTTTCCCCAGGCTTCAGCAGTGCCGAGCGGTTAAAGGGAGCAGGGGCAGGGTAAACATCTCAACGGTTCACCCCCCACATCTCTTTTGTAAGAACCCTTCTGCCTCTGTAGCGATATGCATCTGTCACCTGGAGACCACACTGACACAAAAGGAAGAGCCTGCTGCGGGTGCTCCCTCTGGCTAATACAATCAAACTCCTTCCCCGAGGTGCCAGCTTATCAGCACTTTTCGCTTCAGTGGGAGACTGCATGGCTAGCTGCTCCCGAACAAGGAGCCTCTGCCTCTGGCTATACCTTCCCTGTGTGGGACAGGAACCATGGGGGGTTTTTTATCCTTTGTAGAGCGCTTACCCCCAGCAGCCTCCTGCCCACACCCCGTCCTGTAAATAGGAAAATGGGAAGTGAGAAAGAGTTGAACACTTTCCTATGGGATCCAGACTGCTTTTAGAAGGTGCAAACTCCTCAAGAGTATTGAAAACAGCTGATACAGTGTCTCCTACCCTTATTAGGTAAACTGTCTTCCAAAATGCAGATTGTGTCAGCCCACCATTTACTACTGTATGGACACGTGACCTGGCATGTTGCTAACTCAGTTGCAGAGGTGGCTGACCACGGCCTTGCCAACAACACGTCTAGAAGGGCTTATTTTCTGACAGACAATTTTGAAAATGGCTAGATACAACGGGCCCAGTGTTGGGCCTGACCCACCAATTGTTGTTCATTGGTCATGAGGACACAGAGTAGTTGCAGAGATCCAGGCTGGATGCAGCAAGATGAAGCCTCAGGTAGGAAGTTGTACCAAGATCAGACTGTTTCTGCACAGATGGGTGTCTGCATCACTCTGCCTGTTAGTATGTCATTCCAGCCCCTGTTACACTGGATGGTGGAAGAGCTGGCAGCGTCCTATATGCACAATATGCTCATTTATGAAAAAAAAACCCTATCTTTTCCCCCTCCCCAGATGTTGTTTGATGATAGATTAAGGAAGAGATGTGGTAAATAATCAGTATAAAGTAGCTGGTACAAAAATCTCTTTACTTCTCAAGTGGGATTTGAACCTACACTTCCCAAAGGCAGCATTGCCCCTCTAATACTGCCAGATGGACAACAACAGCCAAAGGAAACTAGACACAGCTCTTCTCAAGAGGTCCAAAGTCCACATACCCTGGGCATGAAGCTTATGACAACATCACAGTCTATGTGTTACTGGCAATTCATCCGCCCAGCATGTCACAGAGAAGTAGACAGAGAGGTCACACTTCAGAGAGACACAAACTGTCACCACATCCCATGAAGACTGTGCTTTTTTATGATGTGCCCATGTCATCCCTTTCTCAGATCACAAATCAAGGCCAGTGATCAGATCTATGTACAAACAACTGTCACTGGCATCTTTTTCAACCCTGAGAGTATTCAGGTAATCAACAAAAATTTTCCCTGTAGCATCAGGCCAGAGAAACTCTCTCTTCTGGAAAACACATCTTCCCAGAATACCACTTCTTAAAATTTCAGCTGACATATCCATGTATCTGATGCAGCTGCCAGAACATACCAACACAGATTTGATTAGGATGATCTTGTAGCTGTCAGATGAAGCAATAAAAACAACAAACGTATCACCAGGCAATGGCAGCAATGGAGGAAATTAAGCACAAGTGTACATGAGAAAAATCAGGGTTTTAATAATAAATTATCAGGTAAGAAAAGTCATAAGGAAACAAGGAGTTCTGTTTGACATTTTTAAGATCTTTTCCTCATCAAATTCTTAGTCTTCAATTAGATGGTAGGCATCATGGGAGAAAATTGTCAACTTCAGGACCTGAGCACCCACCAGTAGTACTAGTCTGAAAGCAAAGTTTGGGATCTCAGCTTTGGCAATGCTCATGAGCAAGTTTTTCTGGTCATCTAATGTCTTATTGTCTCTCCTTTGGAATGAACATCTGTGGAGTCCTTGACAAAGTCCTTAGAAGCAATGCATCACCACCTATCTGCTCCCATGGCACTTGTGTCACACAACCCATTCTTGGTACAAGAACAGATCCACATTTCCACATCAGCCTTGACCTTCGGTGCTGTCTCCAGTCCACTCACAGGACTGCTCCTGCAACTGATATGTTGCTGCTTTATAAACATAACACTGCATTAAAAACAGTGTCACTCCATATCCTGAAATTACTCAAATTTAGAAGTTCACTTTTAAAAAAGCAAGCTGTTTTGTCACTTTGGCTCTGAAGCACAAATCCAGTTTACAGTTCTCTCTCACTTTAAAATTCCAGCCACTCTGTCATATAAATACAGTTGGATGGAGAAATCTCACCACCTTCATGGCAATCATCAAAAACCTGCAAAAGAAAGCCCTATGTCAGTAATTACATACAGCAAGCACTACCTAACTGGAAGTAACATACTCACATATTCTGCACCTTCCCCAGCAGAAAAGCAGTAGTCTAACAGAGGTCAAAATTTAGGAATTCCAACACCAGCTCTGAGGCAGAGAAATGGGAGCACAATAAAGCAAAACAGACACCACTCTAGGAAGTGATGCAAACGGGCACGCTGGTTTTACCCACACAGCAGATACAATCCAAGCAGGACAGACCAAAAGCTAGACAGAAATGAGTTAGCTTGTTAAAAAACAAACAGGCAAGCTTGAGATCAGAAAAAAAAAAATATATATGATTTGAAACAGGCTACACTTTACAGCACCCATTCACATGAAGTCCAGTAAGGAGACAGGATACAGCTGAGAAACATCCTGAACTAAAGAACCTTCCTCTTACACCGTAGCTAAGGCACCACAGACCACACTCCTAAGTGCAGTGGGCATAGAAAGCCATGAGAATCACTCACAGGCATAACCTTGCAGTGTGCCAGCAGCCCATGTGCATGATTATATTCAGAGTTTTCATGCACCCACCTATTCACACACAGAATTAGTTACTTACAGGGCATAGTCCACAGGGTGTCCTGACTAACCCAGTGGGTTGTATGAGAGGACTGACAGCTCTGTACAGCTTCATCTGTCCATCCACGCTGCCTACTGTCCCTTCCTTTGCAGCAATAATAGTCATCTCCACTTTTCCATCATATATTAGCGTGTTTAAAATGGTTTCAATGTCTTCCATTGACAACTCTACCTAAGAAACAATTTGTAAAATAAGTATTAGGAAAGATGTGGCACCACTAAGTCCTGCAAGGAGGAAATGAGCAAGCACCATGTGTAACAAATCCATAGAGTTCTGACCTAACCCACAAAGGCACCACTCTTGCTGGGTGTTTTATGGGGGTTTGCAGATTCCAAAAGAGAAGCAAATACTTTCCCAAAAGAAAAGCAAAGCCCCCTACCTCCCAAGCACTTCTGCATGACACTAGTCTTGGGTTACCAAAAAGAACCTCCCTAGGTACCTCAAAAGTCTGTATCATCCTAGCACAATACATTTCCAGTTTTACAGGAAAATTATTGTGAAAGATGAAAAAGACAAAACTGCTGAAGATAATACCTGTTGATGCTGACCAATATGTGCAGGAGTTTTTTTCTTCTTGATTTTTTTTTCCTCCCCTAAAACTGCTTGAAGTGAATAGGTAAACTTGAGAAAAAATATAAAATATAAACCAGCTGAGACTGTTAAAGGAAAACTTAGCACAAGTAAGTTTTACTCTGTCAACAAGGATACAAATGCTAATTCTTTCATACCTTTTTGAAAACCCAGTGTAAAAACTACCCTGGAATCCTATGCTGCACCTTCCTCAAAAAGCAATAAAATTGCAAAGCCCATTTCCACTACAGTAAGTGTAAGGTACTAAAGCACTTATTAGACCCTTATCAAATTTACAGGACCCTCCTCCTGAAGCTAGTCATGCACTGACAATTTTGAGAGTAGTCAGATGAATTTATTCTGACCTTACTGATACCCAGTTCACAGATGTATTTCCACACTTCATGGGATGAGGCAAATGAGCTGTTCCTCTGTATCATGGGGTTCTGTTTGCTCTGTTGAGCTGCCTCTGCCTGAGAAAAAAAGCAAAGATGAGCTACAGTCAGCACTCACTGTCAAGAGCCTCCTTCATGGTTCAGCTTCAGGCAGACCAAATTATAAATTTGCAAACCATTTCTGGGACATTTTTTTTATTCAGCATTTAAAGCTACGTCCTTAAGACTGATGTACATAGGACACTACAGTGCACAACCAAGCATAATTTTACACTAAACATGACACAAAAATTACACAATGATTTAGATGAATATGAAAGAATATCAACATCTGGCACTTTTTTGACACGAAAGATGTTTCTGCTGTACCTAGTGCCTGTTAAAATACATTTTAATGGAAGAGAGAAATGCTGCTATATGCATACAACTTATTTAATGAAAAGCAGGCTTCTCCTGAAAAAAAAGTCTTCTAGGAAAAGCTAGCTGACTGACTAGTGCCTTCTGCTCTCTCAGAAATTAGGAGGTCTCCAGGGAAAACAGTGCCTTTTGCTAGGTTTTTTTGGTCCTATGTCCTTTGCTGCCTAACTTGTCACTGGATCTTGGAGACAGAAGGCTTCATTCCCTGCACAGGGTGTGAAAATACAAATTATTGGAATGCAACACCATCATTCTTGCTGGGAAAAACAATCCAGTGTGGATTTGCTGATCCAGTTATAACAGCCAGCACCTACAGAAAACACTAGGGAAAACTTAAGCCTTGCCTGTCACTGGTTTTATAAAGAAAACAATTACTTGCACAAAACCAAATGGAAGATTACTTTAGTAGTGGCACTCACCTTACTCTGCAGGAATTTAAAACACTGTTGATTTAATACCTCCACAAATTCAGACTCGAAGTCTTGGTCACTGTACCAGGCCCCACCAGTCACCGAGCGGTCGGGCTGCAGGTTGTACAGCATATACACCTTCTTCTTGGATGCCTGAGAGAGAAAAGTGCACAGCTCTCAGCAGCTGACAGCCTGCCTTAAGAAAAGGCAGATTTAAGAAGATATTTACATAAGAAAGAGTTAATGACTCCTAAAATTCACCTATCCTTGACATGTCTGACCATCAATTAACACAGAGATAAAGAAAAGACACATTAGATTCCTAATCATTTTGTAGCAGTGCTGGAAGATAGAATTCTACTAACAATGTACTAACACAATACAAACCGCACTGAAGATCTCAGAGCTTAATTTTAGCCTATTGACTTAAATCCTCCTCCACAGCTGAAAGAGGGCAGGAAAGAGTCTTTAGCACACAGTAAAGACAAACTTCATAGAGAAGCTTTCAACTGTTTCTGCAGGCTTCAACCCATGCCCTGATGACAGGACTCTTACATGATTAAACCCTGCAGCTGAAGTTAGTCCTGGGGAGCCTACTTCCTTACTGCCACACTTAAGTGGGATGGACAGGAATGCTGCTTACACCCTGATATTAGTAGTCAGTTAACCTTCCTGCAGCAGTCATTCAGAGCAACTCAGCAACCACTGAAGCAATTTTAGCAGTGTTATGGCCCCTGTATGACTAGATGAAACCAGCATCTCTCACAAGAACATGAAAAATATATGCTTCTCTACGTCCTGCTTCTTTATCTCCATTTTATTTTTATTTAGGAAATCACTCTCACTCCCCCACAATTCTCCAAAAAAAAAGCACACATGCAAGCCATGGTGCCAGTTAGACTGGCAACTGAAAACTTACAACAGTTCACAAGCAAGTGGTCTTCCTGGTGTACCAGGCCCTGCCACAAGAGAATCCCTGCTGGGAGAATGTCCAAAGAACATACTAATCCTAAGGATTTGTAATTAAGCAGGTAAGGGAGATCAGGATGCTGCATGAGCATTAGAACAGTGTGAAGAAAAGCATGGAAAAGGAAAAGCCCTACTCTGCTAGGTGAACTCTTTGCACATGAGAGAAGAAAGTACTTGAGTAACTGGAACAAAGTAGAGAACCCAAGACTGAGACAGAATCAGATATCTTAGAAATTGTTTAAAGTAAACAGTACAATTCAGTATGAACCAGATAACTGAAGGGAGTTTCAGGATCTCCACAGGAAAGGAACCTTGCAAGGTCACTTGCAGCTAGGTAACTGTATCACTAGACCCATACAAAAGGCTCAGATTGCTTCAGTATCAGAAATACCAAATTCTGGTGCAGAAAAACTAGAACCAATGGAGAAAAAATAATTACAGGCAGGTTGCTTATTTCAGTGGAGAAAGGAGAAAAGGGTGTAAAAAAAAAAAGTTAAGAAACAAAAATGGAGAATAAGGTATAAAAATCTGAGAACATAGAGGGCAGGAGCTGCAGGCAGTAGAAGTATGGATGCCTGCAGACAGCAGAGAAGCTGACCTGTGCACTCAGATTGGGATACTAAAGAGAAACCCACCAGACTTCTCCCTAGATAGGGAAAGTAGTACTAAAGATTGGGTATGGCAGAGAAAATGCTGACAAAACTGCAGATTAGCAGCAAACAGTGTGAGAGGTTTGTGAAGGGTAACAGAACTGTAACAAGTTGTATGCAATAAAGAATTAAGAGAACTAAAGCTGCAATTTGAGTGTAATGGCATGTAATTATTAGTGGTGGGAAGAACTGTGTATTAATAGGGATATGTTTATTAATTAGATTAATAATGTATTAATCAGCTTGTTAGTAATATGCTGACTATTTAATAAACATAATGGCTCATATCTGTTGCAGCTCAGACCTACACACTAAAGGCAGAGAGTCAAACACTGATGCACAGTTAGTGAGAAAGCTGGAGGCAGAACAAGGTTTGCCTGGCCCAAGTCCTCTGTTCAAACATACACACCATGCAGCTAACATTTGAAATTATTTTTAAAAAAAGTTACAAAACACTCACTGCCACAGATTTAACTGCTTTAATCAGTTTCTTGCTTTCCAGGTTTTTCAGTATCTTGTTGATCTCCGTCAAAGGCAAGTTACTTTTGTATCTAATGTCCCTGCTCCAAATACCTGTTTAAAATCAGAGAAGTGAACAGAAATGAACAGAAGAAACCATTTGTTTCTGTATATACTCACAAACTGAAAGTCACATCACAACATTCCTTGACTCACTTGCCAACCATAGGACGTATCCTTGATCCTACCACTCCTGGCAAAAAGGAGGGAAGGGACAGAAGGGGATGGAACAAAGAAAACAACTAGCAAAATCACAAAAAGGACACTATAACCACCACACTGTCCTCCTGCCCTTCACCTCTCCTCTGAGAGCTCTTACAAGTGCACCCCACTTCACTGCCAATGTGAATAGATCACAACAATGTTCTTGCATTTTTAGGTAACTCGTGTTTGCTTCAATTCAAACCTGACAGCCAGTTCTAGCTGCCATGTCTCAACCACAGTGTGCAATGACTGCTGGGAAAAACTAGTTACTAGAGGTTTCTGCTGGCAGCACACCTGTTAAATCCAACATAGATATCACATTTAAGTAGTGAGTGTTCTGCAGATTCCTCAGTTTGACAGTCCCATAGTTAACTCAAATCCATACTCCAAATATTCTGAAAGAGCCCCTCCCCAAGAGTCAACCAGGACAGGTTGTTATTTTAATAGAAAATCTCACCTTCTCTTTTCTTTTTAAAAGGTGGACACTTCAAACATTAGCTACAGATCTGATATGGGGACTCTAATTCCATATTTGTATTTTCTGGGCAACCATTTAAGAGTGTGGACAAGAACACAGTTCCATAAGTAAACACAGTTAGTACCATTCACAACTATGATATATTTAAACTACCTTTGTTGCCTGCATCTTCTATAATTTGGTAAACCAGCTTCTCTTGATTGTCAGAGCCTTTCATTTTACTGCAAAATAAGACAGACATCAGGATTTTTGAAAGGTCCACAATATGAAAGAAGCTGTATTTTTTTTTAAACTGAAAAAAATGAAAAAAAAAAGCCCAAAGGAAAAAAACCCCTACACAATAAGCTAGCCACTGACAAATATAATACATGATGCTAAACCTCTCTGTATCAAGGCAAGCTTGCCTGTGGGAAGCCACAGTGAAAAGGGCACAGTATGAAAGAAAGAGTGACTAAGCAGGAGTCACTCAACTTGTCCTAACAACAGGGAATTCAGAATCATGTACTAACACAACTGTGGAAGATCAAACCCAGCACAAAATGTAATTTAGGATAACCTGTCTCTAGGCAGAACAAAGGGATAGATAGTAACATGCTCCCAGTGCTAAAACACAACTTTTCATTTGTCTGAGAAAGCCTGAACTCAGCAAGCTTTTTCTAAAGCATTTGAAAGAGAGGATGACACACCTACACTGGGGATCATTTTGAAGGATATTTCTGTCCAGAAATATGTCTAGACATCATATTTACTCAGATTTACACAGGTATCACAAGACATGGTTTGTAGGTAGATTTTAATAAATCAAATAGCATGAGTTCAAGTGGCCTCCTGGAACAGCTGTAAATATGTAGTGAGAGCAATGAAGACCACAGAACCACAGTTTGCAGATTCAGGCTTCAGCTGAATTTCACCTGAGCATATAGACAGGTCTGGACAGATCACTCTGCTGTCATCTGGATCAGGAACTCTACTAGCAAGTCAGAACTGTAGTCCCATGGCACCCCTTGTTCAGCAGAAACCACCATCCCTAAAACAGTTTCCAGGATCAGCTCAGGGCAGTTAAGTGTACCCCCCAGAAACAAGCAGTTATGTTCTGTAACACCCATGTTAGGGGATCCATATTATATTGCTGAGTGCATCCTCAGCAATGCTGCATCTGAGTTGCAGAGCTGTGCTGCAAATACATTTATCCAGCAAACAAGAGGCTTACCTTGCATTTTGAGAATCTTTGATTCTATATAGGAGACCTGCATTGCTCCTGAGAAGGTCCAGCTGCCCCTAGGAGAGAGAGGAACAATGCATTTACTGGCCCTCAAATAGCTTGCTTCAGAATGTGGCAAGAATCTTCTAAACTTCTAAAAAAAACCTGTCAACTGAATAAAGAAAAGGGAAAGCAAATATTTCTAACCACTGGAAGGAGTAATATTCTTGAGGGTACTTTTT